GAAGTTTCAGTCGAGGAGACATCTTGAACTTAAAAGGGATTTTCTGGGAGTCTCGAAACTGGTCTTTTCTCACACGTGAGAGCCTCACAAATGACTCTAGACAGGGGTTATCGACCACGTTGAGTCTCGTGGCAGTCTCTGTTTAATGATTTAAAAACGTTTTTACATATGAACTATCGGAACCTGTACTCAACCTAAGCTGTTCTAACTACTGTACTACCGTATAACTACTTCACTTTATTTCAAATCAGTATAATGTTACATAAACATGAATGAAACGAAACTGTTATCCATCTGTGTCATATTTTATCATGAAATAAGCACCAGGACGCTGAGTGCAGGAACATCGGGAACGCAAAAACATTTTCACTTTCTTGAGCAAATATACATGGAATCAGTGTTCTTCATTATTTGTTCTTATCATTATATAGACATTTATTCTAAAAAATGATATAAACTGTAAAAAGGACGAGAATCATGTCAGAAAGAAAAAGAAGGAATGTAGTATGAATGAAATTCAAAGAAAATCCGATTAAATAAAGAAGAGACGGGAGACGTACACTTATGTTGAAATCATCAACAAGAAAAACGCGTTAAATTTATTAAAACTTATGTGAAATAAAGTGAAGTAGTTATACGGTAGTACAGTAGTTAGAACAGCTTAGGTTGAGTACAGGTTCCGATAGTTCATACGTAAAAACGTTTTTAAATCATTAAACAGAGACTGCCACGAGACTCAACGTGGTCGATAACCCCTGTCTAGAATCATTTATGAGGCTCTCACGTGTGAGAAAAGACCAGTTTTGAGACTCCCAGAAAATTCAATGCCAGGCCTAAGCGAGGTAACTGGATAAGTTTTATCGAACCATGACAAAACAAATGGGAAAAATAATCCTGTGGTCTTTTTCAATTTCCGACACTGTATCTTTTAAGGAAAAAATTATAATTTTATATGAAACTTCAAATAACATGACTTATCAATTTTCTTTATACTTTAGGGCAACTCACCAAAAGTTGCTTGCGATCTGGATTGTATCAGTGGGAACAAGGACAGATTTTACAAAGTAGACAGACTGATATAGTGGAAATTCTGTATCTTATAATATATTTTGAAACGTTTTCGGCAAAATTGTTTTTCTTCGCCGCTCTTTACAACTTCTGGAAAATCAGTTTTCCAGAAACTCTAAAACAATAACTAAAACGTTTCTTAATAAGCCATGCTTGTAGACCGGAAATTTCTGATTAAAATGAGACGTCTTTCAGCTCTACGCGACCTTTCTTTGCAAAGTTATAGAATTTACAAGAAAAGCCCTAAATCGATTTCGTCTTATTTCTGTAGTTTTGAGCTGATAATGAACATTTAGGGTTTTTGGTGTTAATTCTATAACTTTGCAAAGAAAGGTCGTGTAGAGCTGAAAGACGTCTCATTTTAATCGGAAATTTCCGGACTGCAAGTACGGCTTATTAAGAAATGTTTTGGTTATTATTCTGGAGTTTTTGGAAAACTAATTTTTCAGAAAACCGGGTCTTCAAGAATCATGAGGATAAATTCTGTTAGGCGTTTTACTATCTCGATATAGGCTATCGATTGATATATGTTTGAAAAAAATCGGGGTTGGACAGCTGGGAATGTGTCCCTCATGAGCGAGAACATTAATGATAATTCGAAAGAAATTCGTACTCTCTTTTGAGCACCGAGAAATGCAGTCGCTTTGAACACTAATTCTGATAGAATTCACGCTACATTAGTGATCGAAGAGCACAGGTACGGAATTAGTGGAAGTCCAATGAATACCCTTCGATCTAAATTAGACGGTTTGATGATTTTGTTTATTGACGGAATATCCCTAATCGATTATTCATTATGGAAAGAATTTCACGCACGTCTTGGCCAAATAATGCTCGATATCCCGTCAAGAAAAATAAAAATGACGAGCACAAATATTTTGGAAATAATCTTTCATCTTCTTACAGTGACCCATTTTTGTGCGCAAGAGATAGAAGGGAGTTGGAATATGCATACGAAAAGATACGTCAGTAGTGTTTGTCGCTTCCCGGTTTCAAATGCACTTTTCATTGTACTTATTTCCCCAACGTTCGGAAGAAGCTCGGTTGCGAATTACTGTGCCAGCAATAAAAACTGTTTGCAGTGCTTTTTCATACTGATCATAATTCCAGTTCAATTGTTTTAAAATCGCATCGAAAGCGTGATAAGTAACCGACATTTTACATTCCTTCATCTTTAATAAAATTGTATTTATTTATTTCAGATTATCTGTTACTTCTTTCAACCAGTCTTTACCTTTAGAGTACTCATTATGTCTAACTTAAAATGTTCGCATCGAAATCGGTCTCGGGAAAGGAGATCGAGACGTTTTTTCCATCGTTTGCAAGATTTACTATGGTTCTGAGAATGTGTTTGTACATTTGTAATGAGTTCGTATAATTTTCGCTCTTTTCTCTCACCGGGTATTTCACATATTTGTCGATGAATTTTGCTACTTCATGTGCTTCGTCTTGTGCTTCTCCATGTTTTGGAGCATCTTTTATCCATATCACCATGTGTATGTGAGGCAATCCACGTTTCTGAAACTCAACACGATAAAAATAATCTTGAACTTCACCAAGAGCATGACATTTAGAAAGCAAGAATTCCCCACCTTTCGGCTACCTTGCGGTATAGGGTGCTGTCCGGCAGTCCGTTTACAAGAGTTATGCCCCGAACGGGAAATATTTCCCGTTCAAGAAAGATGTATTTCCCGATTGGGAAAGCGAAATCTGTCCCATTCGGGAAAGATTTCGACATGTCTACTTTGAAAGACTTCAGCGCATTTTATAACGCTTTCGCGCATGTTCTGGTTGGTTCCATTGGAAAGAGCACGAAAAACTGCATCGATTGACGCGGTGCCAGGTGAAATTGACGCGCTTCTGTCACATCTGATATTATAGAAATGTTGAATAGAAGTGGGATCAAAATGTTTCCCGATCATGAAAGTCATTTTTGTCAAACGTTAGAGTAAAGGAAAAGAAAGATGGAAGAAAGAAAAAGAAAAGACTAAGAAAAAGGAAGGATGCAGAAATATAAATACGTGTCATCGAGTTCTAGAAGCGTAAGAAAGATCTACTGACTAGTCTTCAGGTGATAAATATGTTGAATATAACTAGATCCAGTGTGTATACTTTTCAAAATAAAAAATATAATAAAGTTTCTCATCCGACAGTTAACAATGATTGTTTCTTCAACACTCTTCAAAACACTTGTAAATTAGTCTATTCGATGCAGTTTTTGATGCTCTTTCGAATGACATATTTGGAAGCCAATTTTAATCTAGTTATAGTAGAGAAAAGCGAGGTTTACCTGACACATGCTCTGAACATTAAGTGCCTTCTAGAAACATCTCTCTTTCTATGTACTTCTGGCGCCCGTTTGAAATAAAAACTAGTCCACTTTGTAGCACAATCAACGCTCTATCGAACGATATGTGTCTCAAAATAATTCATGAAAAGATCAAAATGGGATAAGATAATACAGAAGTTAAAGTGCATATTACGCTTTCTAGCGTTAAAAATTCGGTGATTTCGCAAGAAAAGTTGCCAGAAATCGAAACCAAGGCATAAGAACTGGAATTTTACAGGAAATGTACAAAAAACTAAGGGCTATCTCACGATAAGATCAAAAAATGTCTAGCAGCTTACCTCAACAAGCAATAACTTTAATAAAAGAAATTAGCAAGGTGGGTGAATAATTTTGACGGCCACTGTAGATATTTTCACTATCGTTTTTAGAATGACTCATCAAAGTTAAAGTTTTGATTACACTACAAAAAATGTCAGTAATACTGTACAGCGTTAAGAAGAATACAGTGCATAGCATCGCATTATTTTTCGATCAGGAAATACATCTTTCCCAAACGGGAAATAGTTGATCTTTCCCGAACAGGAAATATCCTGTCTTATTTCCCGATCGGGAAATAAAAATAAGGGATTTCTCAACAAAAAGTTGTTTTAGCATGGCACGTAACCAACGATCAAAGAGAAGCTTCAGCTTTTCACATAGAGCAAATGTAAATCACCTAAGCAACAGAATAAAACTTGGCCGCACTCCAGACGACATATGGTTCATGAGATAACATCTTTCCCGATCGGGGCATATTTCTCGATCGGGAAAGTGCAAACGGACTGTCCGGAGATAGTTTCGTAAACCCGATATCTTCCCTACAACTAATACTAGCTGTAGCTCTGGACAGAAGGCCAGCCTCATTCAGAGTTCTTTCGCTCAAGCGCTTGAGCTCCTCGTACACACTGACTAACCACATACGAGCTACGAGGGCTGGTGTATGTCACAACGTAGTCAACATGCTGTCGGACGGGTGATCTGAGGCCAAAAACCGTTAATGACTTACCAGGGTCATTCCATGTCTGCCGACGCCGAGGCTCGAACACAGTACCTTGGGAGTACATGCCAAACAACTTAACCACACAGCCATAGCGGATTCAATTCATGACATTTAGATAGAATAAGTTACCGAAAAAAGGATCCGAATCTCTTATCAAACACTCGAGCTACCATCAGAGGATTATTCGTCAGAAAAAAAATTTGTTTCAGCATACGCATATTTCTGTTTTATTGGTATATTATGGTATTTTGCCAAAAACTGCAAGTGTTCAGGCCAGTGGGTATCAGCTGCCGAAAAACTGCAAAATCACGTTAGAACTTCAAGTTGTCTGATCATAGCGAACAATTCTGTCAGTGTACTGGACCAGTGCTGTGGAGTTTCTCTCACTTTTTGTAATGTTTAAATATGAGGTCCTCTTTAAGCAGATTTGAAACATTGTCCTTGTTCATGAGATTTTTCGGTGTTATTTGTGACCTTGGACAACTTTTTCTCAACTGTAATCCTATACCTGCAATAGCTCGCTGAATATCTGCTAAGTATTGAAGGAAAAGGATATAGTGTGAGTCTGAAGCGTAACGAAAATCAGCACTGAATAGTCGACTATTAGCATAGAGTCACAGGGTAAGATCTCATCACTTCAGCTAAAAGAGGCTTGTCCCAGTTAAAATAGTTGTAGTCTTTTTCTTCGATCATAATGTTTTTGTAAAATTCATTTATTTTTTGTAAAGCACGTAAAGCAGAACGAATAGTATCAGGCTGAATAATTTGATATTTATAGTAACCACGAAAGTTTAAACGACATGTCAGTTTAAGTTGAATAAAAGCTGCTTTACTCGGAGGTCGAAGTAAAATGTTTGCAGTATCTTGTACATCGCAGGGAACACAGATTATGAGACCTTTACAACCTTTTTGACCACCTCTAGGAAGCGGAACCATTTTCATAAACGATAAACCGATTGTGATCAAATGTCTTTCCAAATCGTTCAACACCTTTATTTCCTCAGGCAACTCTGCAGCAACAAAATTATTCTTCATGGCACGAGGAGGCAATGTCGCTTTTTTCAATTTTCGATCGCATTCGTCACATATCCATTACATCATAGGCACTATTGTTCACATACTTTCCCATAAAACAATCTTGTATTGTCAATCCATTTACGATTCATTTTACGTACACTGTTATTCAGTCGACGTTTCGAGCGTTCATGTTCATTTTCAAGACAAATAGACACAATAAAGTTACAAAGTTGAGGCTATATACAGTGTCACAGAATATACAGACAAAAGAACAATACACAAAATAGAAGTGATTTTAATCTTGATTTTTGCCACAAAATAGAAGAATAAGAATACTTGCGCATACGTGCAGAGAAAACTTAAATCGTCTGCCTTAATCGTCTGTTTTGTGTACAATATTACTATAAAACATCTGCCTGTACCAAAAAGAGCAATAGAGAAGATATCCACTACTCCAAATGTATTAGCAGACAAAAACACAATAAAATGTAATCCAGAATAGATGCCTTTTTTTGACAGTCGTCAGTTATATTATAAAAACCATCATTACGTTAATTTATTTGGTTGATTATTATTTTGGAGTGTAAATCAAGTCAGATGACTGTGGATTCTAAATTAAAAATAGTTTTATGTTGTGTAATCTAAGATACGTTCCGTCATAGAATCGATAAGAGTTCTGCAGTTCCATAACATGTAAACAAAATAGTTCATTTTTTAACTATGTTCATTCAATTTGTACAACTCTTACAAGTTCTTAGACCTTAGCAGGGGCGTCTATCAGGTGGGATGTTTGAAGCGTAATGCCTCAAACAAACTTAAGGTGGTACGCTTTCTTGCTGTAGAAATTAATTTTTCAGGTACAATGAGTGATCGAACCTTCGAGGTGCTACAAAAGGCCTCAAATATTCAGATGGGGATTGATGATCCTCGATCTTAGAAATGTTTCTGTCTGAAGTTACAACTTTTCTAAAAAATGAAGTAAAAGGTTTTTCTTGGAAAGCGACTGTTCTTTTAATGTAATTCATTTTCATTCAAATCATAGTAAGATTTCTGATGATAATGAGAGAACTCGTCGAAATAGCAGTAATAAACTAATCTTACTATGATTTGAATAATCATGTTCGTAGCAGTGTTGTATTTCTTTTTACGCTATTTTAATCTTACTGCTTTATCAAAATCGTTATCGCCATATCTCGAAAGCGACACCTTAACACCATTTCATAGATCCCAGATTTCTCAGTAACGAAACATCGCAGAGAGCTCGGGAAGGTCTTAACTTGAAGCTGACACATGTGGCTAGAGGCTGACAGAGCCCGATTTTTGATATTTGGTCTAGATTTGCGAGTAGAAAAACATCTTTACCAAAGTTAATGAGACTTTTCGAATTTTGGACATTTGATGCTGACCATTAATTTGAAAAGAAAAATATCAAAAATTCAGCTCTGTCAGCCTCTAGCCACATGTGTTTTCGTCAATTTGCGATCAGCCTGAGCTCTCCACAATGTTTCGTTACTGGAAAATCTGGGAGCTACGAACAGCCCCGTTTTAGTCGCTGTGGTGGCGATATCTCACAAACCATGCGTGATGAAGTCAAAGAAAAAATTTCGGCATCATACTTTCACAAGATCAGCATTGCTTAAGAGTATGGTCAAGATCGGACTTATAGTTGCAGAAATAGGTTTCTGACGGGGGGAAGGGGCCTTAATTCATTTTCCTTTCTACTCTTTATTTTGAAACTATGAACTAAATATCAGTCGAAAGAGTGCAAAAACTGACTGTGAACATTTTCAGCTTACCCGAATTAGGATAGAAAAAATTGAAAAACATGAAATTTAAGTTAAACAATATCTTTCTATTGAGTAAAACGATTTTTTGAACTGCTGGTTGTTATTTCGCTCAGAATTTGGGCAGCCTGTCTTGTAGAGAATTACATTCTTTATAATATGAGCTATATCATACCCATGAGGGCATTTTCGATAAATTTATCGCGATAAAGAACTTTTTCATCGCACCAATCTCTTTTATCGCGATACCTGTCGATAAATATATCATATTATAATTTGCTATGATCTACTTGCTATGCCAAAATCTAAGGACTTGGTTTTCCAGCGGTCAGGTTTTCCAGAAGCTCTATTATCAACTTTTCTCATGAAAGGGCGATATGCATCTCTGACAGAAAAATCTTCGGGCTATTCAAAACATTATTCAGATTGGTTCCAGCTTTTACTACAAGGTCAAAAACAAGGGAGTTCTTGTGATTATGACACACGTACTGCTTAGATAACAACCAAAAGCTTCTTTTCCATATCTTTAGTGACTGGCCCCACCTTTCTGGATATTATGGCCAGCTTACTTTGTAGAGAATTTCAAGGGGTATCCAATGGTATGTTTTTGAACAATATAAACGTTTTCATTATGGCAGAAAAACGACTAACAGAGTGTTCAAGGCACTAAGGTAGGTGAAAATCATTATATCGGCCAATATGATTGGACGTTCATAATAATTACCACGTCGATCAAAGTGTTGCATTAGCTGGACGCGAGAAAACAAATTCGAGGAGAAATGGAGTATACTACCAGTTCAAACTGCAGCAGAAATTTTCTTGTTCAAAAAGAGGAAAAGAGAATCTCTGGCAAAGAGGAAACATACCGAAACACAATATACCCATGACCAACATATATGTTCTTTCATATCGAGACGAAACACGGGAAAATTAATCTCCTCATTCATCGGGATAGAAATTTAATCGCGATACTTTTAGCTTCTTGTCGAGATGACCCTTTTATCACGATAATACTCGATAATCTGCTATGAGAGATTCAAAAAGCAGGTTCTGTAGAGAATTCAACTCTCTATCGAATGAGACTAGAACCAGATTTTTAGATCATTCGAAAGTGCCTTAAAAATAAAGAACAAAAGTGTCCCGTTTATTATGCGCCACCCGTTAGACAGCAGAAACATTGTTAACTTCACACTATTCTGTCACCAGTCTCGAATGCAATTGTATTTTTCCAACTGTCATGCATATAATATAGTATACGTCTGCAATCTCTTGTCGATTCGAACAGGTCGTTGTTTTGAAATTAATTTTTACCATGAGATTATTAGTTTTATTTGATTATACTGCAAAAAAACAACAACTATAGAAATGAAATACACACATTTGCAATAAAGATCATATAAAAGGTTGTTTTTCAACCGCAGAGGGCCTAATTTGACCTTCTTCTTTTGATGAGGTAGTGTTTATTTCCAATAGGCTATTCGATTTCAATGGTAATGACGAGTCATTCTCTAGAGTTGAGGATGAGCAAGTTTTCCATCTCTTTGAGACAGCCCACCATAGAGCATAGACGGGTATAGGCAACGTTGAGAAAGTACTTATTGACCAACCTACTATGCTTAAACGTATAACAGTTTTTTTGTCTCCGAACGATGTAAATTCTTGAGTGTTAAATTGAAGAAAAGAACAAACGTATAGTACACATAGGACCATTGGAGCAATAAAACAACATGTTATTCGCCAATAAATACTTGGCTTTTTCCCCGTCATTTCTTCCACATTGAGAGAAAATTGTTTAATACCGTATAACCAACAAACGGCAATTAGTTCCAATAATACAACTAGCATTATAGCTGGTGATGTACCAAAAAAATCCATAAAATGTACTACATTTTTTCCACCATGTGTCAAAGTTGGTATAGAGGCAATAAATGATACCAGTACAACACCAGCTCTTGATAGACGTGGTTTCGATCGAAATATAGAAAATTCATCAGAGATGGCTGTGTATATACATTCCACACCGCCAAATACACTATCCAAACCCAATGTAATAAGCATGACGAAAAATAGTACGGAAAAAAATGGTGCACCTTTAATCGATGCCAGAAGTTCAGGATAAACAACAAATACCAGTCCCATTTGACTTTCGGCAAATTTTCTCACATCCGTTTTAAGTCTATTAGATAAATAACCAATTCCCGAGAAGACAACTATACCATACAGTAAACTGGTAAAACAATTAATTAAACTGGCTGCTACAGCAGTACGTGGGACATTATCATGAAAATCACTGTAACTTGCATAACCTAATAGAACACCAAAACCTGGACCCAAACTAAAGAATATCTGAACAGCAGCAGCCTACGAAATTATAAAAACAAATAAATTGATGAAATGGAACATACATTTGAATCTACTTACTTGCCATACAGAATATTCTTTTAATTTATCAAATGTTGGGGATATATAATATTTTAAACCGTCCATAATACCTTCTAATGTAAATGAACGGAATAATAATATGATTAATACAACATACGGTATCAAAGCAGTGAACCAAATTGCTTTACCCGCCGTTTTAACACCTTTATAAATAGATCCATAAATAAGAGTAAAAACAATCATCGAACATCCTACAAGACCCCATCGCAATGAACCAAGATCATTAATACCCGTTGATTTTTGAGATTGTAACATTCGACGTTCATAGTATTCATTTGCTGATGAACACGACTGATTATTTATTGAGATAGAATCAGATTGAGAAATTGAATAACAATTAGGCGTATTCCATGTATTATTACACGATGTCCATGGTACAGTGCTGCGAAATGACGACAAACAATAGTATACAGACCAAGCAATGATAGTATTGTAATAGGATAAAACATAAATATTTATGATCAACATTGAATAGCCAATACCTTTCAACATTGGGCAAACTTTATTCCAAACAGTTATGTAACCTAACCGATGATATTGACCAATAGCTAATTCCATGTACATACCTTATTATAGAAAAATTATATATCTGTTAACTTCTTTTAATAATATTTAAGAAAATTTTAGATACTTACATGGTAGACCAACAAGAAATAAAAAAGTAAAATATGGTATAAGAAACGCTCCACCACCATTACGATAGCATGTTGTGGGAAATCTCCAAACATTACCTAAGTAGGAAGAAAATATAATTCATTCATGTCAACATTGTCAACTAACAGAAATTTTTATACCAATACAATGTTTTAAATTTCTTACCTAGATCAACAACAAATCCAATAATTGATAATAAATAAACAATTCGACTACTCCAATGATCTCGTTTAAGTGTTGTATGGTTATTTTCATTAATAACTGTCGATACAGTTTGTTTATGATCATCGATCAATGAATTCATTTGAGATAATTCAAGAGTGTTTGATAATCCGTTATCTGGCATGGTTAGATGTTCATTACTCATCCATATTGTAGTGTAATAGAGGAAAATAAAGATAAAAAATAACGATTTCTGAAAATTATTAACTGAGATTTGTGACTATATGAATTTGATTTTTGAAAAATAATGTACATTTTTTCTCTTGTTTTTAAATAAAGATATACAACTTATTAATCATAGCACACAAAAATCAACTTTTAAAAAGTATATATATATATATATATATAACGTCTAATCTGAAACTAAAAAAAAAACAAAAAATATGATTGATATACAGACTTCTCCTCCAGCCGTCAAATGGAAGAAAATGATCAACGATAACAATAACAAGGTTACGTGTCTATTTAATGTTTTTATGTATGATAACGAAGTCTTTCTTACAGAATTGTCATTTTATTTTATTTCGGCCGTTTTTGTCTGTCAATTAACCCAAGAGAAAAAAAAGAGAAGTTTTTATTTGTTTATTTGTTTTTTAAACAAAAAATAGTTACATTTTGTCTCTTTAAATATTCATCGTTGTGTAACATCTTTTTTACTAAAAGCAGACATCTTACTGTTAAAATTTAATCTTTCCACTAAGAATATTATGTGTTCAAACGAATTTGCATCAGCTCAATCAGACAATTTTTTTCTTTATATCTTATATTTTAAAAATTTTTGTATGTAGTAGAAAATAAGATAGTTTTGAATGTCTATTTACTAAATTTTAATACTTCAATGTTAAGTTTAGTCGTCAAAAAATTATTTTACATTCACGTTAGTAATTCGATAGTCATGTGAGAAAATTGACCATCTGACTTGTCATACATTCAATGTTGATCATTAGATAATACATTTTCCACATATTTGTGAAAACGTAACAAGTAAAATACTGAAAGAAGCGTAGAGCATCTTACATGTCAAACAAAACAAAGAGATGGCAAAGAACATATTCACTTATGTTTGAGTTCTGTCATTTTCCTTATGAAGTTCGATAAGTTAAAGAAAAGAACAAATCTTGGGATACTCAAGTGCTAAAAAGTCATTTGTATTCATAGTCTTGAAACGTCTCACTTTCAAGCAGTGTGATCGTCTGCGATCTTTTAAAAAAAGCTCCATACCTAACTTTTCGTCAATCTTTTTAATTTTGAAAAGTGAACATCCGGTTTGATATTAAAAAAACAACAAGATGTGAATAATTAAAGATAAATGCACAGCTATTTTTCAAGCCAAGCACTCAAACTTCACAAAACGCACTATTTGAATGATATGACGCTATGCAAACAGTCAAATACACACATACAATAAAATCTCGATAAGAATTACAAACGTATATTCTGAAAAATTGTGTCCAACAACCGCTATGACGTAATACTGTGAGAAAAAAATATTATTTGTCATCGCGTTTGTTTTAACAACTCAAAAGATCGCATAATAATTTATTAATAAATAGCATTAGATACACGATTAACAGTCATGATTAGGAAAAAAAAACAGTATTATATACTGCAGTTGTCTTTGTTTCGTCATAAATTCGTGTTTACTCACTAAGATAAGATATCTAATTCACAAAAAAATGATATATTGTATATAGGAATTATTATAACTAAGTATACTTAAGATTAACTTTAAAAATCAAAAATCAAATGGAAATAAAAAAATATGATATTAGCTACTGTACGATGCAGTCACATATCTCTGCTGTACGAGTATAATTTTGTATAAAATTTCGACATTTTATTCTTTCTGTAACAACGACATCAGACTGATCAAAGCTGATCAACGACATCAAAATGATCAAAGCTATACAACTTTCGCAATTGTAGAGCAAAGCTTCTTTGAATCAAATAAGATATCTTCGGGTTCTGTGCAATCTTTGGAAAATACAACAAAAATACTAAATTTCACTTTTTATAATAAAGGTGTTCCATATTTTGTAAATCAAAGATAGTACAGAACCTGGATATATCTTATTTGATTCAAAGAAGTTTTGCTCTACAATCGCGAAAGTTGTATAGCTTTGATCATTCTGGTGTTGTTGAAAAACTACAATAAGAACAAAATATCGAAATTTTGTTACAGAATTTTACTCTTGCAGCAGAGATATGTGACTCTGGTGCGTAGCGTACAGATTGCACTTTATAACATGATTCTGGTATTCTAAAATTTTATCCAGATTCTTGCTCAGATATTTTTTTTTACTTCTGAAGACTAAACATTTAGATTATTTCTTGAGTTTTGCCTGCGTAACTGCCATTATAAAAAACACTTTTTTTCTGTTTTTCCCTGCGGATTTGGCACGAGTTTATAGCATGGTTGTCCCACCACTTCGTTAAGTACTTAAACGATCAAGACAATTTATTAAATGTGTTACATGTCGCATTGTAATTCCCCACTGTCAAGATATACTCACACGATATTAGAAATTATCGTCGATTATGCAGTTGAGGATATAGATGGAACGTGTTCAACTGTATTGGATATAAACAACAGCAAAACATTTTCTTTTATTGATTTTGAGTAGATATCATTTCTCTATTTTAGCACGTATCATCTGAATTATTATTTTTCTCAATTTTTTTTTCTCACTCTCTCTCTTAGAGGTATATTTTATGTATAAGCCTTTTATGTATAAACCAAACTCAAAACCTTTCTCTAACACATATAAATTTAATATCGAGAAACCGGATATAAAACGACAATTGCATAAGCCTATACGGATTCATTATTCTTTTATTTTATCAAGTACCGATCGGAACTTGGAATTTTTTGTAACAAAAAATCAAAGAGAATAGGCTTTCCGTAGTTAAAGTCGTTGACAAACTGATGAAGTGGTATCCTATGGAGTCTAATGAAATATAAAGATAAAAACGATTTTTATGAAATTGAAACATTCTTAATTAAAGATCTTTTTAACCTTTTACCAATTGTATTTTCGCTTACATTACTAGCTAATTTTTATTAATTTTATTTTATGTACCATTAATGTTCAATGTAGTTGGTAGATATTAAGATGTTTTTTTTTACAGCAAAACACTTTTCGACTTGAGAATACAATCAAAAATAATGCATTCTCTTCCGTTGTTTTGGACAATCGATAACACAACAAACAAGTATTTTAGGAGCAAATAAGAAAGCAAAATGTGGTTGATTAGACCTAAGATACAGAAAAAAATGAACGTTTTACACGTCAAAAGAATTTTCTCAAAACATGTCGTAAGTGTAGTAGGTTTTCTAAATATTTTTAACGTTTTACTGGCTCGGATTTTGCTGAAATTCTGTTCTAAGTGTAATGCAACGATGGTGCATGCGCGAACATGCATAAATTTTCTTATATTTCTCAGAAGATCTTTGAAAAACCGATGTTTGTCTACATATTCTTAGCTTTTCTCAGATTCACATCATTTTTTCGTGAAACCAATGACATATGAAAAATCAGCTGTTAAACTGTATCGAATCGTGTATATTAGAAACGTTTTAGAGAAAACTTCTCTGTAAAACATCTTACGCTTGGTCCCGTATACTTTGTTCGAATTTCTGTTAAATTTTTCTGCTAGTTCAAGAAAAATGATCGTATAAGTGATTTCAACAAACTCTTAAGAGCCAGAAAACGGATTGACTGTCGAAAAAATTACATATCCGCCGAAAATGCACACCGTACAACTGGACCTCGAATTAAAGAAATAGTCGAGCAAAAACAACAGTTTCTCAAGGCAGAACCTACTTACTTTAAAACAGCTTTGTTGTACTTCATCCGCACAAACAACATACAATACTGAATTGTGTGAAAATTTGTTCAATTCTTTTGACGAAACGAAGTCGATACTCTGCCTAACATTGTACAAGGTTTCGTGCACAATGTCGTGTTCAGTTCGTGTCTATTCTTTATTTTACACTAGACTCTTTACTAAACAGATCACTCCATAATAATGTTTCCCTCTCGGGATCTCTCATTAGACACAAAATACACGCAGAGTGAATATCTGGACATCTCTAGCGTGTGGTATGAACGCTAGAATTTTTGCGAATAAAACTTTGTGTCAGGTATCTTTCACGTAGACCAGGCATTTGAAAAGCATCAAAATGGAAGAAACTACACGTTTTCAAAGCAGAATATTTTTTTTAAATCGTTCTAAAAGAAAAACATTTTGTGCTTTTTACTATTAAAAACATATTGTTTTACACATCATTGGATTTAGCAGAAGGACAAGCTTATTCCAAATATCTCTTTGACTTTGTAAAAAAACTGATTTAGACCTAAAAGAGTTGAGTTTGCATGAAAAACTAGCTATCAACGTTTTAGGATTAATATCACTAAGAAAAAAAATTTGTTTCAAAGATTTATAAGAAATCTAGAAATTGTTCTTGTAACATGTTTCTGGACACATAGGCTTTTTATTTAAAGAAGTCACCAGATTTGAACTGTATGTGAAAAGACGGAGCTAAAAATTACGTTAAGTTCAAGTATCATAGACAGTTATATAACAGACCTTAGTCAATACATGAGCGAATCGTAACTTTTTTGTACAATTGTAATTTTACGATATTTTTTCAATAACTTCTGTCATTGCCCACCGGTTTCGAAAATTTTCTTTTGTTTTACTCGCTGATGACGGTTCCACTACCACAAAAAAATTCGTTGCGAAATCTGGTCAACCCGCAAAGTTGTATCCATTCAAAGTCGAAAAATCCCATTTTCGGGATTATTCACCATTATACAAATAGATTTTCCAAAGATAGGACAGAAAGGAAAAAAAAGTAAATAGGCCAGTTTGTAGAACTTTTATTTCTGCATTGACCTATGTTACTCATATTTTCCCGTCCTTTACTTTTTTTAATCATTCTAGGTCGAAAATACATTTGCACTCAAAAGTG